AATCTAGCGGTTACAACATCTTGTAATCTAGTGATCTTGTTACTTGCTCCATATACATGTTTCACTTGATACATCTCATCATGGTAAACTATGGATCGACTAGTGCCTGTTTGCACTTGTCTACTTGTCAAATTCATCAATAAGTTCTTTCCTAATTACAGTTTTAAGGGTTCTTTTTGACAGACCCAAATTGTATTCAACGGTGTCATTGTTAGACGCGAGTTTGGCGAGGGCATCAACTCTGTCATGTTTTATGAGGCCTATGTGAGAGGGGATCCACAACAGTTTGTTCTTGAAACCCCAGTCAACAAGGTACACATATTTGTGTCTGGCTTCAGAGACAAGAGCGTGACAACTTGAGTTGAGGGTGTCAAGAGCAAGTAGTGAGGATAGAGAGTCAGTGATGATGGGACTGTCAGTGACAGTGGTTTCAATGAATTCAATAGCTGTGAGTATGGCAACTAATTCAGTTTGTAGAGTGGATGCCCAGTTAATTTTAACTCCTTTCTCAATTATATTACCGTCAGGTTCAGTCACAACAGTAGCACTTCCAGCCCTCCCACAGGCGATGTTTAGAGATCCATCAGTGTAGATGGTCTGTGTGATATTATCATCAGTCTGTAGAGTGTGTATGTGTTCAAGGGCTCTCACTTTGGCAGTGTGTTGGAGATAAATACTTTGTATAATTAATTTTTTAGGCGGATACGTCGGTATTGTGATATCGAGGGGAACTATCCGCCAGGGTGGCAGGAAGCGCTGTTGTGTCTCAACTTTGTACAGGTGGTCTAGTCCAAACATCTTCATATGTGTAGCTGTAGTTTGGATCCATTTAGACTCACCAGTCCCATGGTTCATACATTCTAGCAATTTTAAGGAAACAATGTCATCAGGATCAACACGGGTTCGATTCCCTGGCCGGTGGAAGTTGTTTGGACTTACTTCCTAGCCCCCATTAGTCCCTGTTCACCTAGCAGTAAAGTAGGTACCTGTTGTAAGTCGAAAGTTGCGAATTCGTATTCAGGGACAAGTTGTTGGAGCTTCCAATAACTTGATGACATAAACCACTGACTCTTCAGGCTTCTACGCCCTTGACTCTTCAGGCTTCTACGCCCTTAACTCATGAGGCATAAAGGCAAGCATGAACTTAGCATGCTTCCCTGTTGGACGCTGTAAACGCTTCTGCGCTTCACCTTACACAAGGATGTAGGGGAGTGCCCAATAAATGAAAAAAAAGGATCACCACGCAGAAGCCTCAGGGCTATCATGGGGTTGACTTCAATTATTCTATCTTTAACACTGGCTATACCTAGTTCTTTCCTCATATTAAGTACTTTAGTGCTGCTCATGGGACATCTTATGATAATTCTGAGAGCTCATGGAGACACCATGTGGTGTCGGGTGGTGTAACAGTACCTCACTCTCTGCTAGGTGGTGTTGTGCTATCCGTTAGTCAGGTCGAATCGAATTGAATCGATGGGTGAAGTAAAGTATGAAGAGATCTTGATGCTGGTGCATAGATTGGCGGTGCAGGAACTGGACTTGAAGAATGATGGTGGAATTTGGAGGGACTTGGAGTTGGTGGATAGTGCAAGAAGAAAAGCGAGGAAATTGGAAAATAGTAGTAGAATGCTAGGTCTTGGGGCTCAACCAAAGTGCTTCTGTTTTCTTATGTTTGTGTTTCAGCTAATTTTCGTCATAGGTATTACATTCATGTCAGGTGTTTGTATGTTTAGCAAATATTGCATTTTTATGCCTTACATTTTCGGGTCTTGTGTCCTAGCCAATGGTGGGGAGTCTAGGGCAGGTACTTGTGTTTCTGCTAAGAACATCCCGTCTTTTTATGATCTAATGTTGTAAGTGGTAGGGCTGCCAAGGTTGTCACTGGGGTAACGTTGCATCTTTCAATAGAGTGGAGTTGGTGTGGGTTCTAGGTACTACAGATAGGGAAGACGAATACAAACGTTAAGTATAAACTAGGTAACACGGAAATAGAAAACTCAGATTGTGAGAAAGATCTAGATGTATGTGTTAGCAACGACTTGAAACTTAGAAAATAATGTATTAGCGTTCGCAACAAGGCAAACAGGATTCTTGGGTTCATATCTAGGAGTGTGAGTAACAGAACTGCTGACGTTATCTTGAAACTTTACCTAGCATTAGTGAGGCCACACATGGATTATGCGGTTCAATTCTGGTGTCCTTATTATAGAATGGACATAGATTCTTTGGAGAGAGTACAAAGAAGAATGACAAAAATGATCCATAATATTAGAAACCTTCCATATGAAGAAAGACTGAAAGTTTAGGCTTGCATTCATTAGAGAGGTGTAGAGTTAGGGGAGATATGATAGAGGTGTTCAAGTGGGTAAGCAGGATTAACAAGGGTAAAATGGGAGATGTTCTGAAGCTCAGTAATAACGAAATAACTAGAACAAATAGCTTTAAATTAGATAAATTCCGATTCAGAAAGGATATAGGCAAGCACTGGTTTGGTAATAGAGTTGTGGATATGTGGAATAGGCTATCGAGTGCTATAGTAGGATCGGGGACGCTAGGGAGCTTCAAGACGAAGTTGATAGGTACATGGAAGTGCTGGGATGGGTGTGAAGGGATCTGCCTCTGTGGCGGGCCAGTCGGCGTCCTGCAGTATTCCACTTTCTTATGTTCTTATGTCGGGGTACTAACATTATGTTTTACTTTACTCGACACTGACTCTCGGACACACCTGAATGAATACACTTCCCACAGTAGGTAACTCACCCTAGACGTTCTGACAAGACTCACGTGTACCTGGACATAGGCCCAGTGGATGTTGGCTGGGCTGCCTCCTGTGGGAGGCTTCTGCTTAGCTGGTTCTGTGGTCTGGTCGGGAAGTCTCCCTCCTGACCTGGGGAGGGGACGTGCGTGACTCTGCTTAGTGAACCGAGTGACGACCCGAACGGGAGAGAGATGACAGCAACCAGAATGAGAATCAGTATGAGCAGGATAATGCCCGTGGACGGGACTGTGGGGCCTTTATATGGAGTCGGCCCAGCCGGCTTCTCCTCTAACCAATTAACACTAAACTGGTTTGATCTGGATAGCTCTGTGCAGGTGTGGTCCTGCCCAGGTGTCTTGGTTAGGTGAGGTTGTAGGTCACTCGGCTAACTCACGTCATTAGCGGGCGAGGTCAAGTCCCTAGGGTCGACCTGAGGTGTCAACCCGGAATGTGGTGGTACCACGAGGTCTGTAGTGTACTTGCTGTTATATGTGACATAATTCTGGGCTGTAAGCTTTGGTCTGACAATCAATCATTACACCAGATATCCCTCCTCCTAGTCACTGGCCTGGCACTTGACATTATTAGGGACCTGCCACTTTGCTATAAACAGATGAAATGTACCGAATTTCCAACACACTCATCATTCTGTCACTTTATGTAACTTGCTGACAAAACCCATGAGCCTTCAGGCTTCCACGCCCTTAATGCATGAGTCATAAAGGCAAGCATGAACTCCGCATGCTTCCCAGTTGGTCACTGTAAACGCTTCTGCGCTTCACCTTGCACACGATGTAAGGGGGTGCCCAATAAACTAGCCCCCTCCTGGGCAATCTGTAATGTGTGTGTGTGTACATAGTGTGTACATAGGCACAGTATGAACGTGTCCCATATATATAAGAATACTGTCAACGTCTCCTTTACACATACACACAAGCACGTTATTAACGCCTCCTGTACGGACATTTAACATAACCTAACCCATCTTAACCTAACCTAACCCCTAGTTATCGTTAACGTGATTTAACATTTTGAGTCTACTTAAGTACCTTTCGTTAATGACTCGATTATACAGCAAATAATACAAACAAAATATGCAAAACTTCTTTCCATTTTACGGTTTAGGATATCTTAATTATTTCAAATTTTTTCCTTCATTGAAATCGTAAAAATGTCTTCGCCTGATTCTATATTTCCTTGTTGCAGTGATATTTGGGTATAAGTTAGGTTAGGTTAAGTTTATATAAAAACATAAGAATGGAGGAAACTGCAGCCGGCCTATTGGCCCATACTGGGCAGTCCCCTTTACACCCAACCCCTATGTTTGAAGCTATCCAGCGTATTCGAGTTAATGATGATGTTTGGTAACTTGTTCCATTCATCCACTAATCTATTTCTAAACCAATGTTTACCTATCTCGCGCCTAAATCTAAATTTGTCTAATTTAAAACCATTGTTACGAGTTCGCGCCTGGTTGGATAGTTTGAGTACCTTTGTTATATCACCATTTATACACCTCTTTCATATCGCCCCTCACTCCACGTCTCTCGAGGGAGTACAAATTAAGATTCTTTAACCTGTCTCTGTACTCAAGGTTCCTAATGCCCGGAATTAGTCTTGGCATTCTCCTCCGAATTCTTATTTCGGTATTCTATATCTATTCTGTAGTTCGGTGACCAGAACTGAATCGCATAATCCTCGTGAGGTCTCACAAGCACAGGATATAGTTTTAGGATAACCTCGCTAGTCTTGTAACTAACACTTTTTTGTATGAACCCAAGTACTTTGTTAGCCTTGTTTCGAGAAAATACACATTGTTTACTAGGTTTAAGATTCCTACTTATCATTACTCCTAAATCTTTCTCACAGTCGGATTTCTCTATAACAACGTTGTTCATCTGGTATCCGGTTTCTTTGTTTACATCTCCCAGACTATGTCCACATTAAATTTCATCTACCAATTTTCAGACCATGCTAATTTTTTTTTTTAGATCTTCCTGTAGTTTTGCGGAGTCCTCGTCAGATTTAATTACACGCCCTATTTTAGTGTCGTCAGCAAATTTACTAATTTTGCTGTCTACACCTATATCTATGTTGTTGATGGATCTGATAAATAGTAAGGTAAGGTTTTTATGGTTAGGTTATGTTTGATTAGGTTAGGTTAATCTTCATGTGAAATTAGTAGGGGTAGTCTAATCTCCAGGTTCCCCGACAGAAAGTTAACACACACAAGGAAACTTACTCGTTGGAGACTAAGTTGCTCGGCCGTCTGGGCGTTGGCACAGCTGCCGTACAGCACCATTTCTGGGATGGCGAAGTTCATAAAATTACCTCCCACGGGCGTTACCACCGCCAGCGCCGCCGTTACCACCACCAACAGCAAGCGACCAGGCTTTGACAACACCTGGTAACGTCTTGACTGCAACAACGACCGTCTAATAGGTAAATACGTCGAGGATAGTCGTGAAGGAGGCGTTGAAGGGCTGCTGTAGGCGTTCACGACCTCATCAGCCATGTTTGAGGTGGCGATCTTGGCAGACGGTAGGGCGGGTTTCTCTCACTGTGAGTTGAGCTGAATTTCCTTGATATTGGTCTGATTTATCCTTTAGAAAGACAGATATTCTCCAGTGTATAGGTGAAGCTTACAATACTGTACACACACAAGTTGTATCTGTATGTGGGTTGAGTGTGTCCTTCTGTGAGTACTTCCTCAGCCTTCACTCCTCTGTGCTGACACTCACTTCAAACACCTATTACGTACCACAACCCTGTAAACCTTCCGTCGACCACAAAATCTTGATGTTGGTCACTCACTCACTCTCCTCCCACCGCCAAGAGACAGTCACCACAACCATTAACTCCCTCACTAACTGCGTAATACTATACTACGCCAAAAGCACCTCAGTGGTTCGAAGGGCGGGATATATTCCACGATTTCGTCAAGTTTTCCTTATCGCCTCCTGATATCCCACAACACTTGCTTATATCAACTTATTGTTTTTTTTAAATATAAACCCAAACAAAGACAATGAGGGTCGGGTATGAGAGAGGTAGACCACGAGTGTGTTTCACCAGCCACCAGCTCACAGTGAGGTAGGATTTTTACGAAACATCTTTTATACTCTCTCGTGTGTGTGTTGTCTGTCTAGGTTTACAGATAGTGTTTATCTCTGGGAGTAAAGAGAGTCGCTGAGTGATAGATATCCTTGATGACAGTAGCTACTATTGCCAGTGGTCGCTAGATGTTAACATAACGAGTATGATGATGAAACACACTTAAAGATTGATTCACACCAACGTAACATTGTTGGTAACATGTGTTGACAACTGTGTCCTCAATCATGTTGAGAATATTATAGGAAAATACTTACAGTATTAGTGTTGGGAACATTGTCGCCACCAGGATTATGTCAAGAAACTGACTGGTGGACTGTAAGGATTATTTCAGCTTACAATGTTTGTCTGGAGTGTTTCCATGTAGCCAGTTGCAACGTTGGTGTTTTTGTCGACGATTCTGAAGACCCATACAGGTGTGTGTGTGTGTGTGTGTGTGTGTGTGTGTGTGTGTGTGTGTGTGTGTGTGTGTGTGTGTGTGTGTGTGTGTGTGTGTGTGTGTGTGTGTGTGTGTGTGCAAATAATAATAATGATGATAATACGTTTATTAAAGTTCTGCAGCCCGAAGGCTGAAAATATACATTAGACAAAAATGACTTATTACATACAAAGACATGGGGTGGGTGGGTCGTTTAACAAAAGCTTTCATTACTGAAAGGAAAAGGAACATGAATTGAACATACAAATTATTATAGTTTACAGTTGATGGCCCGGGCTGGTTTGAGTGGTCTCTTGCCGTATCTGTGAGGTCACGTAGGCCACGTGATGCAGTAACTCGTCCGTAGATGTTGATATATGTTGATATGAAGGACTTCACGTGATCATGGAGACACCGTGGTGTGGTGCTCACGTGGTGCAGTAACTCGTCCGTAGTTGTTGATACGAAGGACTTCACGTGGTCATGGAGACACTGGGTGGTGTGGTGTTCACGTGGTGTTGTGTGTAATAATAATTAACGGTTTATTGAAAAAGTTCTGCAGCCCGAAGGCTGAAAATACACATTAGACAAAAATGACTTATTAATACAAAGACATGGGGTGGGTGGGTCGTTTAACAAAAGCTTTCATTACTGAAAGATGGAACATGAATTGAACAAACAAATTATTATAGTTTACAGTTGATGACCCCGGCCTGGACTGGTCATGGAGACGTGTGTGCGTGAGGTGTGTGTGCGCGCGCGCCAAAACGGCGAAGGCAACAAGCCTCCTGAAGAGGTTTTAACACTAAGCTTGTGGAGGATCCAGTGGTAGCATATGCTTTCAGAGAGCAGCTCGAACATGAGCTGATAAGCAAACCCGACAACAAACAACCCAAATCCCAGTGCTGAATGAGATATTCTCTACACTGTCATGACAAAAACCTGCAGAGAGACCCTCGGCCAGATCGAAAGAATACACCAGGACTGGTTTGATGAAAATTACCCGGAAATCGATGTACTCGTCGATGATAAACGTGCTGCTTTAACTGACTGGCAGAACAGCCCTCAGCCTGACCAAAGCTGATACCCTCCGCAAGAAGAAACCAGCGGCCCATCGTGAACTTCACAAGCTAAGGAACGACTGGTTTAAAAATAAAGCCCGTGAAACGCAAAAACTCATGGTGCAGCCCCCTCCGCTCATCCGACGGTAACTCCTAATTGAAGACGAAGAATGCATCCTTCAGCACTGAAAAGAGCACTCGCATTTGCTGCTCAATCGAAACACCGATGTGGATGTCCTGACTACCCAGCAGGTCCCTCAGCATCCAGAACTGACCCATCTCAGTTATCCTCCATCCCTGGATGAGGTAACTAATGCCATCAAATTGATGAAGAATAACAAAGCCTGATGGAATCCCAGCTGAGGTGTATAAAGCAGGAGGACCTCTGCTTACCAGCCGTCTCCACTCTCTCCTGAAGAATATATGGGAAAAGGAGGAAATCCCCCAAGCTCTTAAAGACGCTTCCATTGTCAATATTTATAAGAACAAAAGAGACCAGTCAGACTGTGGCAACTACCACAGAATCTCAATGTGGCTTTAGCCCATCATGTGACACGACTGCCATGATCTTTGCTGCCTGCCAGATAAAGGAAAAGTGCAGATAACAGCGTCATGGCCTGTACATGACCTTCATCGACCTAACCAAGGCTTTCGACTCGATTAATAGGGAAGCCCTCTGGCGGACCCTCAGCCGTTTTGGCTGCCCAGCAAAATTCGTCTCTATTGTGTGGCAACACGATGGCATGAACGGCAGTGTCCTGCACAATGGCACCCAGTCTGAGTTCTTCCCCATCCAAACGGCGGTAAAACAAGGATGTGTACTGGCACTAACTTTTTCCATTTTGGCTGCCTTCCTTACTCGTCCCAGTGCCAATTTAGCCAGCGGGGTGTACATCAAGTACTGGATGAAGGGTCTTTTCAACATAACAGGACTCCAGGCAGGAACAAAGGTGTTGGCCGCTTCCATTACTGAACTTCAGTATGCAGACGACCTCACCCTTGTCGCTCACACTGAACACGACCTACAGGAGATCCTGAACACCTACGCAGATGCAGATGCGCACTTTGGGCTTGAGGTAAATGTACGTAAGACTCAGATTCTCTTTCAGCATGCCCCTGGTTCAGCCACATCTCCACCATCCATCCAGCTTAACGGTACTACACTCTCTAATGTTACCCACTTTCTATTCGGTTCTACCCGTCCACCAGAAGCGCGACATCGATAAAGAGATCTCACGACGAATGATGTGCACCAAGCCTGGTACCTGCAAGGTTCTTCAGCCATAGGGAGCTGAAATTATCTACAAAGTTGCACATATATCGAGCAGTGGTCCTCCCCACCCCTACTATATGGCAGTGAGACATGGGTCACATACAAGAAGCACCTCAAGGCACTTGAAAACTTTCACCAACGTAGTCTACGTTTCATTCTCCGAGTTCGCTGGGAAAATAAGGGAACAAATGCCAGTATTCTCGCTGACACCAACTGTAGGAGCATCGAGGCTACCATTAACCCATGAACAACTACGCTGGACTGGCCATGTTACCCTCATGGACGACAGTAGACTGCCAAAGCAGCTACTATACAGTCACCAAACAAATAGTAAACGTAACGCCGGCGGGCAACTGAAAAGGTATAAGGATAGTCTTAAGACAAACCTGAAAAAGTGCCAAATCGACCCCCTCACCTGGAAGTCGATTACTCCATACCGTAACGCTTGGAGGAGCACCACACGAGAAGGTGGCAATACTTTCGAGTTAGCCCGACTGCAAGCCGAGGCAGACAAGCGCCAACGTCGGAAAAACGCTTCCGCACTAGATGTAGCACTCCACATGTGCAACATCTGTGGACGACTCTGCCGGTCCTGTATCGGCCCCTCCAGTCACCTCAGAACTCACCATCCTAGGTGACATCCTTAATAACTCATATCATTGTCTTATAGTTTGATGATCGTCATACTCGATTCCCGATGACAGCAACGTAGTAGTAGTTTGTTGCTCGACTCCGATGATGATTCGTTGTATGCAAGTGGTGAATTTTTACAGTTGCACTGACAGTCTTTGGTCTGACATTCCCATCAGCTATCTGAATATGGCAGCTTTGATAATTCATTTCACATTAAAGATGTTCACGTTGTTTCACTTTATTTATAATTGGTCTGACGAACAGTGTGTTAGGTATCACACCTCAAACGGTGCGGTCTGCTGCTGTCTGACCGAGGAGAGAGGTGACGGTAGACCTCTTAAGGCTCCTGTAGATTCCTCCTCGGCATAACTCCCCTCCCTACCCTAACCTAACCCAATTTCCTAATTTAACCCTACACAAATGAATCTGACCGCTGTTATTACTTCTTATCTCGATATAATTAGTCTACATACGAACAGTGATATGGGTTATTGGTCATTCACACAGCCAATGGGGGTCAAAGTTTCAACACACGTCTCTTGTTATCTGTAACGTGACGTGGCCTTTACGAGAGTGTCTGGCTCAGTGGTTCGAAGCTTCGCGTTAAAGATCCTGGGTTTCGTTGTTTTCGGTAGGTTGAGGGGTATGCTAGGTTTAAGTAGTTTTTTCGCTTTACGGGGATGATTCACCAAACAGGTAACCTACCCATTAACATCAAAACGTAATAATAATAATATCAAATAATAATAATGGAAGAAATAAAAAAAAAAGTAAAAACAATATATGTGTTAAAGCATATTTATAAGAGAAACAATTGAGACCCTGCAGTTGTGTGTAAATGAGGCAGAAAGTCAGATCAGCAACCTGGGACTTGGTCACAATTTTTGTGATGCCATTTGGCAGCAGGGTCTACCATTAGGCAACACCTTATGCGCCAATATCTTCCCAGGTTAGGAGTCATTTTTGGTTTGTTGGGGTTAAAGTCAAGGTTATGTTATGGGTACGTTGGGTTGGGTTGGGTTGGGTTATGGATATGTTAGGTTAGGTTAGGTTAGGTTAAGTTAAGGGTACGTTAGATTAGGTTTTGTGAGGCTACGTTAGGTTAGGTTTTGTGTCTGGGTATCAAAACACTTATATTTTTTCCCTTGTAACCTGTAATGTATGAATGTGCTGTATTACCCCACATAAACCAGGGGATCAACATGGCGGACAAGATGCACAGAGACTCTGCGGTACCTACAGCAGATGTCTCATCCTTACCTCAGATGATGTGTTAGTGATGGTGGTTGGTGTGATGGTTGGTGTGATGGTTGGTGTAGTGGTTGGTGTGATGGTTGGTGTGATGGTTGGTGTAGTGGTTGGTGTAGTGGTTGGTGTAGAGGTTGGTGTGATGGTTGGTGTGATGGTTGGTGTAGTGGTTGGT